TGTAGTATAGACACTACACTCAACAGCCTATATGACATAGAAAAAGATGGTGTCTTACTCAAATAAACAATGAGACAAATCAGCCAATAAGAGCCATATACAAAATAGGAAAAAGAGATTGCAAATCAATAAATAGGAAAAAGAGACTTACACAAAGATGGTGTTTGACCAATTGACCATCCCCAAAATGGCCCGACCAAACCGAAAAACCGACCCAAACCGACCCTTCGTGTTTTTTTTTGATAAATAACAAATATTTTTATTCAGAGATATTGATATAGAAAAATACAAAGGGAGGGGTAAAAACTCTTAACCCTCCCAGGAGAACATTTCAGATTACAATGCTGCCCAGAACAGATTATCTCTTCCCACCCCTTGTTTAGCCAATGAATCTGCYAAGGAATTGGCACACCTCTTAGTCCACTGAAATTTGACTTCCATATTTTGTATGAGATATCTAATTTTCTTCTTTTCACTCAGAAACTTCCACAAACTAGAATCATCTTTCATTAACCAGTTGATAGTCAAATTAGAATCACCTTCCACTATCAGGTTTCTGATATTTAATTCTTGAGCTCTTTTTAAACCTTCCATAACAGCCAATATTTTTCGGCTCTCAGAGAGTCCCCCCAGACAATAGGACCCGAATACAATGCGATAATTCGACCTTCATCATCCCTAAAAGCTCCCCCTATACCCGACAGACCTGGATTTCCTTTGCCATCAAAGTTTAATTTAGTGAACCCTGAAGCTGGTGGGGACCAAATTGGGTGAATTACATTCTTCCTTGGAACTGACCAAGCCACTTCTTTCCACTTCCTGATGATATCTCCTTCTGAGTAGTTTTAAAAAATGTGCAAAGTCTTAGCCCACTGAATCACCCTTATGGAAATTAATTCAGTAATTACACCTTTATTTCTTTTTTTCCCATGAAAGGTCCGTTGGTTCCTTTCCTCCCAAACTGTCCAACATACAGCTGCTCTTACACATCTCCATACAATTTTCCCTCTCTTCTTCAGCCCCCTAACAGTAGTATAATGGAATAGGCTTTGTACATTTGAGGGAGGGGTCCACCTGCATCCAAAAAGATAGAAAAACCAACATCAGATTTCTGAAACAAATGGACAAGAAACCAGTAAGTGATAACAATTCTCACCATTCTTCTTACAAAGAATGCACTAGTGTGGGGATAAACACTAATTAGGTCTTTTCTTTGAAGTAAGTCACAAGTGTTACATTTTTCAAGGAAAACTTCCCAACAAAATGCACTAACTCTGGGAGGAATTGGTCTACCCCAGACTTCCAAAAAGATAGAAAAACCGACCCTTCATGTTTGGATCGGTTTTCCCTTATAATCGGTTGGTTTTGGATTAGTTGTTTATCAAACCGACTAGGTCGGTTCGGTTGAGAAAAATCCTACAACCGACCCGATCCGATCCATGAACACCCCTAGCCTGAGGCATTAATACATGCTAACGATGTAGTTCAAAATTGCTAAAGGCTGACTGCAAGTACCACCTAGTCTAATTAAAACAATTATAATATTAAATAGGCTTTAGTCAAGGAATTTTTGCTTTATTCTAACTAATGTATTGAAGATCAGGTTTCTGATGAAAAATGTATTGAAGATCAGTTACTGGACAAATGCGAGAGCATAGTTGTCAAGACGACAATGCGCCCTTGGTGGCTTGCCTTGCCTAATTGCCAAGCCGTTTTGTACAGTGTGTTTTATATTCTTAATTTTTGATTTTATAATTATAAAATAGACATTATTAAATTACAATATTTATTTTGTGTGTTTATATACTGATTTCTTTTTATTATTTTCTTATTTGTTAGGGTTTAATCAACACAAACATTGCTAAATGATGTATTGAACCCCAAAGACTTCAAAACCTGAATAAATAAGGAAGAACTTAAACTGTTGTCTAATCAACACATTTTCTTCTTTCACATCTTTTTCTTTTTCTTCTTCTTCCACATTTTCTTTTCTTCTTTTCCTATAACAAAAATTGAAGTTCAGTGCCTATATTTTTTGAATTTTCTTTTCTTCTTTTTCTTCTCATGAGTATGTTGGAATATATTGATTTTGTATACTTTAACATGAAGTTTATGCTTTTTTTTATGAAAATTGTGGATACTTATTAAGGAAATATGGTTATGGAACCTAGAGAACTGCTCTAGGATATATGTTTTTTACTTAAAAAAAATCCATCACCTAGTTGACTAGGTGACAAGACGCCCCTTGTCACCTAGCCTGCCTTGGCGTCTTGAAGTAAGAGTACGCTTTGATGCAAACTTAAAGAGAGGGCCTGAAAAAAGATCTTAACTGAAGTATTGAGGAAGATTTCAGGACTTTTTATATCTGATAGAGAAAAATGATGATTAGCGTTAACACTGCCAAATCCAAATAGCTGAGAAATGGCTTTATTTAGTTCAATTGTATGATGTAATAAATCCATTTGTAAAATAAAGGCTAATTTAAATATCTAATGCAGTTGATTTAATAATGCAATCAATCCCATGAGCCTTAAAGTCTTATACATTCAGGCCCAAGCCCATAGACTTTCATTAGTTTATAGTGAACCTAAATGGTCCTTTTAGAAGATTTTCTGTAGATACTATTGTTACTTTCCAGGTTAGGGTTTGCCTTAAAGGCAAATCCACCTATCTCTATAGAAGGCATTTTATTGTTGGGATTAATGAAATGGACTAGAGAATGGCCATTAAATCGTCAAGTTGCTCCCTAGATGCATCTACAGAAAAGTGAATTGGTGGCAGTGGGAGAGGTTCAAGAGCTGCAGTCTTGGGTTGATTCTTGGGGATTTAATGTTGGTAAGTTCCCATTTGGGATCCAATTTTGGGAATGCCCTTAGGGGCTAGGTGCAACTCCAAGTCTATTTGGGATCCAATTTTGGAGAGGATTGAGAAGAGGTTGGCTGGATGGAAATTGAGGTACGTATCAAAGGGAGGTAAGGTCACTCTAATCATGAATGTCCTCTCATCCCTACCTGTTTATTTGCTTTCCTTAGAAGAATTCCAGCTGTTTATTTGCTTTCCTCTCATCCCTACCTGTTTATTTGCAACTCCAATTCCAGCTGGAGTTGCAAACCAGATTGAGAGGGAAATAAGAGAGTTTTTTTGGATGGTGTGGAAGGAGAGCAAGAAAATTCATTTAGCTAACTGGGAAAGGTGTGTAAACAAAAAAAAGAACGGAGGGCTAGGAATTAGAAGAATTCAGGAAATGAATTTAGCCTTACTTGGCAAGTAATTGAAGCAAAATATGGTACAAGAAGTGAAGGTTGGGTCCCTACTGATGCAAATCAGTCGTATGGTTGTTCAGTTTGGAAGGGAATCGAAAAAAGCTATATTGCTTTCAGCAAGGATATCAAATTTGTAGTGGGAAGGGGTACTAGAGTTGACTTCTGGTTGGATCGTTGGAGTGGTAACAATACACTAAAGGATGATTTCCCCAAATTATTTGCAATTGCAGCAAACAAGGAGGCAAAAGTAGCTGAATGTGTCCAGTCTCAAAATGGGATGCTTGTCTGGAATCCTCTTTTCAGAAGGGCTTTGAATGATTGGGAGATTGAACCATTTAATAGGCTTCTTCAAAGATTGTACAATACTCAAATCGACCCAGCAAACAAAAGGTTTTGGGTTGTAGATAGCAAAGGCCAGTTCTCGGTGAAACCTTTCTATGGTAAGCTGGCCCAAGAGGAAGATCTGGAATTTCCTGTGCATATAATATGGTGCAAGCACATTCCATCGAAGGTCTCTTTTTTTATTTGGGCTGCTTACCTGAACAAGATTCCTACTAGAGACAACCTGGTTAGAAGGGGTGTGGTGATTGATTCTAAAAGACGTGTCTTGTGCAACAGTGATGATGAGACTGTTGACCACCTGTTATTGCATTGGAGCTTCAGTCACAGAATATGGGTGAGGATTTTCAGATTTTTTGCAATCAGAAGTCGCTTCCCAGAATCAATGGCTGATTTTGTCAACAATTGGAGGGTACAAGGCCTAAGCAAGAAAGGGAAAGTTCTATGGTATCTGATTCCAGGTGCTATGTTATGGTCTATATGGCAAGAAAGAAACTCAAGGATATTCCAAAACAAAAGTTTTCAAGAAGAGGAAGTGTGGCAGAAGATTGTGGGGAAGCTGTTTTCCTGGTCTTCGATTCAGCTAAAAGTTGACAGTTCTTTTTACAGTTCTCTTTTTGACTTTAAAAGCCTGTTTGTCTCTCCCATTGGTTATGTAGTTTGAGTGCTGTCTTTGTACTTTCCTTTTGAATTGATACTTCTCAAAAAAAAAAAACAAAAAAAAAAACAAATGAAGTTTGCCATTTTTTCTCTGTAATTTGTGGTTTGAGAAGGGAAGCTCTTTTTCCTCTGATGGTGTGACTTCACCTTCATGGCGCCTTCTTTTTATTGTTCTCCATTTCTTAGTTTATTTCCACTTTACTGAAGCTTCCATTAGAACATATGTTGTTTTCCTGTTAGTTCTCTTGAGCAGCAAAGTTGTCTTGGAGTCCATGTCTGTTTTGTGCTATTGCCTCAGGTTCCGCCTCTGCACTATTTGAATTTGTGATAAGGAAATAGAATTCAAAATATGAGCATACATTATCTCCTTGTTTTCTCTAAACGAGGATGGAATGGAAATACATCATAAAAGTATTAGGACATGAAGCTATTTTAAAAGATCAATCAAATAACAAGTGAAACATGGCTGGAAACAGACAAAAAAAGGTTTTGTTTCTATCATCTTGAATGGAAGCCCAACATGGCTATCAGCCACTTGGTATAAATATCCTGTTTCAATGTAAAATGGCCTAAAACAACTTTTTGTAATTTACAAACAAACTTCATTGTGCACCGCTTGTCTCACATGAATATACCCAAGTAAAATGAGTGTCCATCAATGCAGGATTGAATTACTATCTATGATCTTTTGTGTCCCATGTTCTTACTTCTACTGAAAGCATTGCTATATTGATGCAGGAAACTCAGCAAAATCCATATCTAAGGAATATGCAAGATCTCCTTTGTGACTCAAGTGTGTAATCATGTTCTTTCACCAACTCAATTAGGGTTCTACTTTCTGATTTTTTATTCTTGGAAGTAGCGTTTCTTTTACACTGAATTTTTATTGGACAATGTCAGGTATGATTCCTTACCCAGAACCTTATCAGAGTATGTATCAGCAACGACGATTAGGTGCTCTGAATATTGAGTGGCGTCCTCCCTCCATAAAATATGCCGTTGGAGCGGATATTACTCTTGGCCTCCCAGATTACCAACTGCTGCCACTGGCAGACCTGGACAGAATGATTGAACCATTACCGGAGTTTATTGATGCAATGGATTGGGAACCAGAAAATGAAATCCAGAGTGATGATACTGATTCAGAGTACAATGTTACTGATGAATATTCTAGTGAAGGAGAGCAGGGAAGTTTAAATACCAGCTCGTCTGGTGATTCAGCATGCAGTGTAGAAGATAGTGACGTTGAACACAGTCTTAAAGATAGCCTTCGCAGATCAAAAAGGAAAAAACACAAGGCAGAAGTAAGTTTTGTTCTTTTGGGTTTTCATTTGATATTCTTGTCCACACCTACTAAGTATTAAGCTTCCATTACTTTTGTAGGTTGAGTTCACAACTTCTTCTGGGAGGCGTGTTAAGAGGAGGAATCTGGATGAGTGTGATGGCACTTTGCCCAGGAGTAATAGGAGTAAGAAATCAAGAAATGGCCGTAAAGCTTCAAGGAAGAAATCCTCTGCATCAAAGTCATTGCGACCTCAGAGAGTTGCTGCACGTAATGCTTTGAATTTGTTCTCTCGGATTAGTGGAGCATCAACAGATGGAGAAGATGAAGAAAACGTGGAAAATGATTCATCAGAAAGTGATTCAGTGCTACAAGATTCAAATGTTCAGAACTATGAATCTGATAGATCTATGCAGAATCTGCAACAGAAACATTCAAAAGGGAAAGATACATCCTTAGATGATCTTGACAATGTTGTCAAACCTCCTGAGGCTTCTGAATCTCAGATGAATGTTGGAAACAGGAAGAGGTTGGTTTTGAAATTGCCTGTTCGTGATTCAAAAAAGCTTATTCCTCCAGAGAACACAAGATCCGAATCTGGCAAGCATGTTGATTTAATGAGCTCATCATCCAGATTTCATCAAGAAACTACTAGAGCAAACAAGACTTGTGTAGGATCCTATGATCCTGGCTCCTCTTCTGGTGATGCAGTTGAAAGTCTGCAGTTTCAAAGTAGTGCTGGAACAAAAACAAGAGAGAGAACACAGTCTGGAAGGGTTGATGATCATTTGGAGTTATCTGCAGGCTACAAGGAAAACAAGATTAAATGGGGAGAGGTCAAGGCTCGTTCGTCCAAGCGTTTCAAATTTGCAGATGCCATGGCAGTAGATGCATCCCTTGGATCTATTGTGGGTTTTGATGGTCATGCCAGAAATGAGAATGTCAACAGATTTGTGAAATCTGAACATGATACATCACTTCCTTCAGAAGTTCAGAACCATGGAGATAGGATAGAAGGTAAGATTGATGATGATGGGAAAGACTTGACAGCAATCAATTTAGAGAGTGTGGATGGTGCAAGAAATAAAGAACTTGGATTTCCTGATTACATGCATGCATCTTCGTCATTTGAACTGGGCACTTGTAATGGGAATGCCAGCAAGGAATCCAAAGATCAGCTTGAGTTTGGTGATTGTAAAAATTATGATGACTCACTAAAAGGAGTTGATACAACTAATGATGATCAATTTGAATCTTCTCTCTTTAGCTCTCAGAATGGAGGTGAACACTCCAAAGAAGTCAAGGAGAACCCTCAATCTATTCATACTAAGTTGAGGATCAGATCAAAAAGGATTTTGGACCCTGAAAGTTCTTCCAAGCAAAAGTCCGCTGTTGGAATAACAGACTGGGAAAGTTCTAGAGGTGAATTAATGTCTGAAAATATCCTGCACATGGAACAGAATATAAATTCAGGAGTAGCTGAAGAGGATGAAGGTGCATTAAGAGACAGTCATGAGGACTGGCATGGCTTAGGAAAACCTGATGCACATATTGATACAGGTTGCAGTCCGTCCAGTTTGGAAGATTTAGGGAAGTTGCATTCAGATTCCAACAATAAGATGTACAATGCTGTTTACAAAAGGTCAAAGTCATACAGATTAACAAATTGTCTAGAAGGGGATACTGGTGGTTTGGATGAAAGTATTTCAAATGCTAGCAACCATAACCTTGATGTAAAAATAGATTTCCCTGAAGCTGGACCTGATGGCACCCGTAGAACAAGATCAACAGGGACAAAGGCAACAACAAAAGAGAGGGAAGGTTATGGATCAGTGGGGACATCAAAATATGTAGAGAAGTTGACCACAAACAATCGTGAGCAGATCCCATGTGAAGATTGGATGTCAGGTTCAAAAGTGACCGTTGGATTAAGGTCATCTAGAAACAGAAGGGGCAATTATGACAATGACTTGAATCTTTCAGATAAGAGGAAGGCACATCATTCAGCAAGAAAATTGTCATGGTTGACATTGGCAGAGCATGAAGAGAGCTACAGATATATTCCCCAGCTAGGTGATGAAGTTGTATATTTTAGGCAGGTAGGTACTTCATTTATGAATTAGTGTTTATGATCCATAAAAAGTTCTTGATTGTAGTATGGCATTCAATTATTTATGTACAATGGTTTACATGTTGGCTTTGGTTATTTCAGGGCCATCAAGAGTATATAGAATCCAGTCGTTCAGCTGAAGTAGGGCCTTGGAGGTCATTTAAGGGGAACATAAGAGCTGTTGAATTTTGTAAGGTTCAAGGTCTTGATTATTCCACCCTTGCTGGATCCGGGGAGAGCTGCTGTAAAATCACACTTGAATTTGCAGATCCTTCTTCCAGTGAGTTTGGTAAAAGATTCAGGTTGACTCTGCCTGAATTGATCAATTTTCCAGACTTTCTTGTGGAAAGGACAAGGTATGATTCTGCCATTAAGAGAAATTGGACACATAGGGATAAATGCCAAGTCTGGTGGAGGAATGCAGATGAGGAAGGTGGGAGTTGGTGGGAAGGTCGTGTTACAGTTGTAAAACCCAAGTCTCTTGAATTTCCAGACAGCCCATGGGAAAGATATCTTATTCAATACAAGAGTGATCCTGCAAACCCTCATCCACATAGCCCTTGGGAGTTGCATGATCCTGATATCCCATGGGAGCACCCTCATATTGATTATGAAAGCAGTGGGAAGCTGTTATCTCTTTTTGCCAAGTTAGAGCAGTCAGCAAACAGAAGTCAGGTTTGCCTTCTATTCTTATTTGGCTTATAAATTTCTGTATTTCTTTTTGCATTTCTTTTCTGGAGTATCTAAGAGTTATCTATAGGTTAAAGTTCTTCCAACCTTTGTGTGGATGGCCAGTTATTAAGGTTTTCTGAATTGTTTTTTAATTCAAAGTTTATATGAGGTTGTGATTCTATTATGAATGTTGCAGGACCCTTACGGGATTCAGAAGCTGAAACAAGTAGCACAGAAGTCGGATTATCTAAATAGGTATCCCCTTACCCCTTTCTCTCTCTCTCTCTCTCTCTCTCTCTTTCTCTCTCAACTTGACAAATCCTTAATTTATCTTGGATTTAATAAATGCTTATATATATAGTAACATTGTTTTGTAATTATGGTATGTAATGAGCTGATCCCTCGAAGATTCTAGTAACAAATTTAGAATAATTGTATGAGATGAATATTATAAAATTAAACTTGATTCTAAATCAAGATTCCTGGCGTGCTGATTTGTAAACCAGAGGATCTTATTTTTCAGGAAAATCTATGTTACCGGAAAGACATGATACCAGTGGAGCTTTGACCAATCAACACCCCCATTCCAGTTGAATTTTGATAAATGCCACCTGATTGGTTACTGGTTGATTGGTTACAAGCTTTTTCTGGTATCATAGTTGAGCCCTATTTTTATTTGTTTTTAGTGCAAAATTGAGTAGGATGTTGTATGAAACAATTTTGGCTATTTGGGATTGTTGCAGATTTCCTGTTCCACTATCACTTGAATTAGTCCAGTCAAGGTTAGAGCATAATTACTATCGCAAATTGGAGGCCGTGAAGCATGATATCTCGGTTGCACTGTCAAATGCCCAATCATACTTTGTGAGAAATGCAGAACTTGCAGGAAAGATGAGACGCCTAGCAGATTGGTTTACACGAGCTCTGTCTTCATTGTAGTCCTCAGCAGAGACAATTTTGTAGAAGGATCAGTCTCCGATGAGGTTTGAGCAAAGCTTATTCTGGTTTTGTTGTAGATATTCTTTTAATTTTTATTTATTGCAAGGTCTTTGATTTGTACCCATTGATCCAATTTTGGGGATTTGTTGGTTTTCCTTTGGGAAGATTGTTGTTGGGGAGAGAATGATCTGAAGAAAGAGCCAGTTGTGGAAAATCACAACCACCAGAAATTTATTCTTGTATAGACAGATGCTCACTTCCATCATCAATCATCAGGAATAAGAAGAAAAGAAAAGGGAAAAAAAAAGTTAAATAGTTAACAATATTTGGACCCATTGGGTCTGTTTAGTGGTGTTCCATCTCTAATAATTACAATAGGCATGCATATCCTAAATGGTTAGTGGAGTGTCAGTTATTTTCCACCACTTAAGGCTGTGTTTGGAACCGTGGGCGTTTTCTCAATAAACGCTGCCACGTAGGGTGCCACAGGCGTTTGGCGCAATAAACGTATTAGAGGTTAACCGGCAGTTTGTGCGACTGTTTATAAAAAAAAAAAAGAAAAAAAACACCGATAAACGGAAATGGGTGGATTTTCGTGCAATGAGACGGGGGCAAGGTTCAATGTATCGTTACGTATCGGCTGATATGTATCGTTCCATGACCCTTCCGATACGTTCCTACAGTGGGTGTATCGGGAGTCTGACCGGTTTAGGGGATGGAGGGGTCTTAGACCGGCTCCCCTGAACTAGTTTCAGAAAAAAAAAGTAAAAAACAAGTATTGAAACGCCTGATACGTCCCTACTAGTATATCGGGTGTATCGATATTTTGAACCTTGGTTGGGGGAAGTAAAAAATTCTCGCTTTCCCCAACAGCTTTGTGTTTCACGAAACATGCATTTGACGTGGTGCATATGTGGACGGTGATGTGGTGATTGAGGGAGAGAGATCTCATGTTTCGTGGATCATTGAAATTGTAAATAAAACTCCCATGCCCCAAACCTTTATCAGTGTGAGGGGCTTTTCACAAGGATAGCTGCAGAGGGATAGCCCAATATTCAAAATATCGATACGTCTGATATGTTGGTAGAGGTTATTGGGTGGTATCAGTATTTTTTTTTTTTTTTTTCAAATCTGGTTCATAGAGGACGGTTAAAGGTCCGTCCACCCCCTGAGCCGATCAAAACCTCAATACAATCTCTGTAGGGGCCTAACGGGAATCTCTTTATAGAGGTCGATACGTATCAATATTCTGAAATCTGTTTTTACAGATTATTGATCTATTAATGTTTGGTATTTCAATCCATGTTTCCTCCCAACGCCCCTATCATTTGAGTTTGGGCGTTGGATGTGATTTTCATCCAAAATCAACCGTTGGATTTTAAAATATGCACAAAGGATAGTTTGGACCATTAGATTTTAAAATATGTCACTCAAAAATCAAGGAGAGGTGTTACACCGAATCACCCATATGGCCCACTTCTTGAAACACCCTTCCAAACAGCATAAGGTAGGAAATGTTTCTCATTGCTGAGTTGGCAAGTGTCTATATATGCTATTTTTTGAAACGCCCAACCTACACTTTCGCTACACTTGTCTTCCATTTCCATTCACACTCTGACGACTGACTAGTGTCTCGTGTTTTTTTTGGTGGTCTCATACTCAAGTGTTTACACAGTCACTTGCGCAAACAAGTGACAAGGAGGTGTGCCAATTAGATTGGATTTGGTCCAATCCATTATAAATGGCCCATCGAATTCAATTTATAGAATATTTTGGACCCATCCAATTCAATATCTAGATCGTTCAATTTATTCAAATTCATTTTGGAAAAGTATGGACAGGTTCAATGCAGATTTCTGATTTTTACTGTAGAGTTATAAACATTTAAAAGGTTAAAAACTCCTACTCTTCACACCAATGTTCGCCTGTGTATTGACATCAATTCCGAATTAGCATCCACTCCAACTATACTTTGGGCCTACAAAATCTGACCCTGGTTTAATCAGTCATTCTCCTAATTCATTTTGATTTAAATTGATTTCAATCCAAACCCGATTCATTAACACCCATATTCTTATCTTATATCAACGGAGCAATTATTGACTTAATCCAATTTAATATAAATTTATTATAGATAGACCAATCCGTCCAAAATGATTTTGCACTATATGAGGGATCCAAAACCGGCCCATTGACACCCTTAAAAGGACAACGCCCCCAATGCCAGTCCTACATACGATCCATGGGACGCAGAATGAGATGAGCGATTGAAATTATTGAATGATTGTGACTGGCATCGTGGAGCGTTTATCATGGGTTTTACTTTTACGGCCCGCTTAACTGCTTAAATGCGTTCAGCTAATCTGATCAGTTCACGGCATTGCTGATTAGCAACCAAATCAAGAAGGAAAAGCCTTCCCGCGCTACGACAAACCACTTTCAAGGTGGTATACCTTTCCACAAATCAAAAGGAACAGCACATACTCAAGAATCCTCTGCTCGTCGTCACGATCGTTCAGGAATCTGGAATCAAAAGCATGGATGCGATCCTTGAGATTGGTCCTGGTACAGGAAACCTCACCAAGAAGCTACTCGAGATCGGAAAGAAGGTGATTGCCGTCGAATTGGATGCTCGAATTGCAGTGTCGCTTCTAAGGGATACCGTTTTCCAATCGGTTGACGGTATGTATAGATACATCCACTTTCCATCTCTCATTTTCTAAATTCTTTCCTCTCTTGTTTGGTTTTTTTTCTACTTGCTTTTTCCTCTCGCTTAGGTAGAGGATTCGTTGCTTTCTCCGTTGAAGCTCCATCCTTGGAAAAATACAGCTTCGTAATTTATTCTTTTAGTTTCAGACTTTCAGTGTACATGCATTGCTGCAATATATGGGCTTGAAATGCTGCCGTTGTTGGTTTGCAGGGTGCCATGAACATCTAGGAATTGGGCATATTACATATAAAATATGACACAGAAACCACTATGGCTTCGTAATGTTTACTGCGTCCACTGCAAACCAGCAACCTTAGTTGTTCATATTTGTGTTGTTCAAGTATGACATGCTATGCAAATTATTGCCCCGGTATAATATGTAAAACTAAATCCAGAGCAAACCAGGAAGAGAAGCTTATGCACCCAGAAAGAAGACAATTCTGCATTTAGTGTGGTTTGACAATGGTTGTCTGTTTACACAGATAAGCCCCTGCTAGTTTTTTTTTTTTTTTCTCTCTCATAAACCCTAATTTGACACCTCCACCACTGATACGAGAATTTGCCTTTAGTTTTTGAACCCCCCAACCCAAACAGTAGTTTTTCTCTCCTATCTGTGTACTTGGCACCATTAGATTAAAAGACATCTAAAACAACAATTTATGTAGAAACTTATTACCTCTAGTAGGTTTAACTCCTCTAACCTCTATCACAAACCGTATTAGAAAGTACTTAGTAATGATTTAAGATTTGCTTTCAGTCACGGTCCTCTGTCCTATGCAATGGTGGTTGAACCTTCTTTATCTTTATCAATGTCATTGTATATGTTAGTCTACTATGCTTCATGTCCTTGAGCTTCAGACTAATTAGGGTTAACCATTCAATGTAAACAGATTATTCAAGGAGATGTGCTCAAGTGTGATCTTCCCCATTTTGATATTGTGTGGCGAACATCCCTTATCAAATCTCTTCTTCACTCACCTTTAAGTTGCTGTCACATTGACCAGCTTTCAGGTGTGCTGTTATTATGTTTCAGAGAGAATTTGCCATGGGACTTATTGCTCAGTCTGGAGATAACCTCTATTTCCACCTTTCAGTGAACACCCAACTGCTAGCCCGTGTTAATCATCTTCTCAAAGTAGGAAAGAACAATTTCCGGTCTTCACCTAAGGGAGACTCCTCTGTGGTCCGAATTGAGCCAAGAAAACCACATCCCCCTGTGAATTCAAGTGATGTGATAGGTTAATCAGAATTTGCTCCAACCGGAAGAACAAAACTCTAGGTTCAATATTCAGGCAGAAAACTGTCCTTTCTTTGCTAGAGAAGAACTACAAAAACCTGCAAGTGTTACAACAATCACAAAAGGGGCCTTTAAATGATACAGAGATGAATGTGTCTGTTTTAGGAGATACCTTTGAGGACCTTAGCATGGATAGAAGATGGAAGAGATGAAGATGAGATGGAGGTGGAGAATGGTGATGCAGGAGGGGAGGGGTCTCGAGTTAAAGATAAAGTTTTGGGAGTTTTGAAACAGGGAGATTTTGAGAAGAGGTCTTCCAGGCTCACACAAGTGGATTTCTTATACCTCCTGTCTTTGTTCAACAAGGCTGGCATACACTTATCCTGATTCAGGTATTAATTCGTAAAAGTTGTTTTCATTTGCTTTAGTTCACCCAATTTTGTTTTCTTTGCTTGCTTTTGTTTTGGTTTATTTAGGGGGTGTTCGAACACCCCTTGTAATGCAATCATACTTGATTTGTTTCTTGGATTTGTTATTTCATTACTACTTTTCAATCCGTCACATATTTGGTTCTCTTTTTATTTTTGTTTTTTTCTTTGGCGTTTAAGCGTCTTTACATGAGTTGCTACGGTCATGGCTGCCCATTCATTGCTCTGTGCCTCGTTCTTTTAATTCTTTCTCATTCTAGGCAAAAATGGGCAAGAATGAATAACATTAGAGTGTTTGGTTATAAAATTCTTGCCATGACTATATTCTTCTTAGAATGAAAAATTAGCCCCATGTAGAGGTGTAAATTGGGTCGGGCCGCCCGATTTTGGACCGGCCCGGCACAAAGGCCCACGGGCCATGCCAGGCCCGACATGGAGGTCCGTGCCGTGCTAGGCTGGGGGTTTGAGGCCCATGGGCCCGCATGCTGACACGGCCCAATCCGCGACAGCATGAAGCACGGCCCATAGTGGGCTACGCTCGGCCTGCCCAAGAATATAGCCATTGCCCCCCCCCCCCCCTCCAAAGAGGCCCAATTGTTAGTTTCAATTTTTTTTGGTGGGGGGTTACAGAAATACCCCCCAACAACTATAAACAACCATATTAGGGCGGTATTTGTGTATTTTGCTTATGGTGGATTGAAAATGACATAAATGCCCCCCAAGTATATAACTAGTTTAGAGGGGCATTTTGGGTAAAGTCATAAGTAACTTTACAATGACCAAAATACCCCTCCCAACAATCAAATAACATATAGTTTTTTTGGGTATTTTGGGCAATTGAATTATGTTCAATTCCTATAAATAGCCTTATCCTCCACCATTCTCATCATACCAATTCAATAATTCTCTTAATCTCTTATCTCTCTCTCTCTCACACATACTCATACATTCTCAATTATCTGCAATTTGAGGAATTTTGATTAGCTGGTTGTCTGATTCTGCATTCTCCAATTCTCAAGTCTCAACTTTATCGAATTTTGACTTTCAACAAGAAGGCCTGCTCAACCAACTTAATTGTCTCGATTCGGGAGGCTTGGATGTTGAAAGGCTTCAACCGTTGAAATCAAGTTGGAATTTTGAACCAGCAATCTAGGCAAGTCAAATTAGATTAATTTTTATCTTTTTAGAATTAAAAAAATGGTCGGCTCTTTTGAAAATTGATTCCCCAACATGTTCACCATGGATGACATTCAATCGCATTACGATAGTGTTAGTACTGATGCGATTGATGTCAATGGAAGTGGAACTTTCACCCCCGGTAGTAGTGATACTAGGGGAAAAAGGAGGGCTTCTAAGTTGAGTAGCCCGGTTTGGAATGTTTTCAAAATAGAGGATATTGATGGAAAGGGGAAAGGGTCGTTTGCCAAAAATATAGGAAGGACTTTAGTTATTGTAGCAAGGGTGGTACGGGTCATTTGAGCAGACATCTGCTCACACATGAGCGAGAGGAAGATGAAGGGAGAGATACAACCCAAACACAGATTGAGAGGGGGACTAGCTTTGGTACATGTAGAACTTGCTAAGTATATTGCTAAGTATATTGTACATGTAGAACAACCATTTATATTAGCTGAAGATCCAAAGTTAGAAAAATAGTTGCGTAGTTCTGTAAACCCACAATATAAAAAAATTTCTAGGAATACTATAAGATCTAATGCTTTAAATTTTTTTTATTCATATAAACAAAATCTATTTTTTTTGTTAGCAAATCTTAATTCTAAAGTTGCAATTGTTTCGGATGTTTGGACATCCAAATTTAATATTAGTTATATTTGTGTTACCGGTTATTTCATTGATGAAAATTGGCTTTTGAATAAAAGAATTTTAAGTTTTACTAGGCTTGAATGGCTACATAGTGGCTCAGCTATTGTTGCAAGTATTTTAAATACTTTGCATGCTTATGGATTGTTTTCTATTAGTTTTGATGATGCCAACAATAATGATTCTACAATAAATATTTTAAAATCTCAATTAAAGCCATGCTTAAATGATAAATTATTTCATATTAGATGTGCATGTCACATCTTAAATTTATGTATTAAAGATGCCTTGAATATTATTTCTACTCATATTTCAAAAATTAGAAATTGTATTATATATATAAAAAGTTTAGGGGCAAGAAAACAATAATTTAAATATTTATGCCAAAATTATGGTTTAAAATCTAAACATTTTATATTAGATGTAAAGCATAGGTGGAATTCTACCTATGCTATGTTAGAAAGTTGTATATCTCATAAACAAATTCTTTATGATTTTTATAATTTAAAAATGACGAATGATATTATATTTGAGGAAGATTAGGAAATGGCGGTCTATATAAGAGATTTTTTAAAACATTTTTATGATGCAACAAATGAATTATCTGGAATTTATTATTCAACTAGTTGTAATTTACCATATTAATTAATGGTAATTAGTGGTTGTTTTGCTAAATATAGAAATAATCCACAATTTCAATGTATTGTTGAAATTATGAAAAATAAATTTAAAAAATATTGGGAGAACATTTCTCCCTTTTATTGTTTAGCTACAATAGTAGACCCTAGAATTAAGAAAGATGGTTTAGATATTTTACTTGAAACATATTGTGAAAATATGAATATTGATATAGGAAATAAAAAAGAAGAAATTAATAATTTATTATTTGAAATGTACAGTTTGTATGAATCTGAAGTTGTAGAAAATATTCCTACAACTTATTCATCATCTTCTTCTTCTATTTCTGACCTTGAGCCCAGTAGTAGAAGAGAAAAGCTTTTTTATTTAATAAGTAGAAGGCAAAAATCTGCTAGTTTTACAACAAGTTCATTTATTGAATTTAATTTTTATTTAAAAGCAAAATTTTCTAATTTAGGTGAAGTATCAAATAATTTTGATATTTTAGCTTGGTGGAGTGAACCCTCGAAAAATTATCCGGTTTTCACCGTCATGGCACGTGATCTACTAACCCCTCTGGTGTCTACAGTTCCATCAGAGTCTTGTTTTAGTACAGGTACTAGGGTGTTGGATGACAAAAGAAGCTGCATGAACGATGAGAGCATAGAGATGTGCATCTGCTTCAAGGATTGGCTAGATGCAAAAGATAGATTACAAGACAAGGGAGGGCATGATACWACAYCGGAYATTTCACYYRAAGCMGATGATGRAAGTCATGAATGATGATTCATGAATTTGACTACTTGTATAGAATTTTTCATTTTTCAAATTATTGTAATTTTTTTTAATTTTATTTAATTTATTTGATATGCTTTTTTAAACTTTTAACAATGTAATTTTGTATTTTCAATTTGTAACCATATTGTATTCTTTATATTTTATTAATTTATTCCATTTTTATATTTCATTCATCCAAGTATGCAATGATCCAATCATTTTGTAATTCACTGATTTGTACCATTCAAATTTAAATAAAATAAAATTCCTATTTTTCTTCCAATTTGTTATTTCATCATTCTTATTTTGATTTGGTTAATTTTTTTTTTCATTTATGTGTTAAATAACTTAGATTTCTCATTTCTTAATTTTTTAAATAGTTTCCAATTCCCAAAGTTCATACGAAAGTTAAATATTTTAGTTTTACAATATTACTTAGAAAAGAAATCAAAATTTTCAAAAAAAACAAAAAAAAATGAAAAAATATAGTGCAGCCCGGTTCGGCCCAGGCCCAAGGCCTACCCTTTGGCCCAAATTTCCCACCAGGGAGGACAGCATAGCTTGTGGCGGCCCGCCCCACTTTACACCTCTAGCCCCATGGTACAAAAACTAAGTAGTTTGCAGCATGAGAAATAATCATGCCCCATCTTGCTCATTTTCATTCTTTGAGGAAACTCTTGCCTATAAAACTATTGCCATAGATGTTTACTTTTGCGAAAGCACTTTTACAAAAACACTTCTATAAAAGTATTAAAAGTATTTTTATGAAAGCACTTTATGAAAGTACTTTTATGAAAGCATTTTTAAAAAAGTATTTTTATGAAAGCAATTTTAAAAAAGTATTTTTATAAAAGCACTTTTAAAAAAGTATTTTTATGGAAGTACTTTTACAAAAACACAGTACTTTTACAAAACATTTATGCCAACTCATAAACATTGATTATTGGAGACCTACGCTGGCGATTAATGAATATCGCAAATTTTTTTATTTATTTTTGGGAAAAGTGTTTGGTTCATAACAATATTTTCCCATTCTACCTATTTTTACCCATTCTTATCCATTTTAGAATTTCATCTTAGATAAAAATGAAAAAAAATAAGAATTAAACCAAACATAGCTAAAGGTGCAACCTTACCATAGAAATTAGAAAATGGTCCCCACTTTCCACCTTTGGATTAAAAGGAACCAATGCATTGTAAGAGACTCAATAACTTCTGCACATGATTTGATATTCTGAATGTCTCCTTACCACTTTGTTTGTCCATTTATCTTTCAATTTACGAAAAGATAGAGGAAATGCATTCATTCCAGATGAAATGCAGCAGCTGCTTATTTCAAGGTGCACCGTTGTCCTCTACGGTCTACATCTGGGAGCAGTGATTTGACAAGCTATTTATTCGCACCGTATGGCAACATAAATGACTGTGAAGATGGTGTGAGCACGGTCATGTGAACACTGAACCCATACTGAAATGGGCAGTGTTTGATCATGTTGGAAGCGGTTCTGTTAGGAACATATTCACATCACATATCTAAAGTATAGCCAAGGGAAGATTCCCAAATTTCAATAAAAGGTGGATATTCATAATGCAAGGTTTTTAAAAACCACGATATAATGCTCACCGAGCTACTAAAACGTGGTTATCAGATCGACCTGCTATATCAAAATGAAGCAATGCATGTTCAGCCGTTTCTTTTGCTTTGCATGGTTTCAAGTATGGTAAATGCTTATAAGCACAATATGCTATATTAATATTTTTTCCTATTAAATATTATACTTCATACCCACGTTTTCTCCTTTTCATACTCTATTATACATAAACGACATGAAAAATGCCGGATCTCGTTTCATATTTTCAAAAGAACTGACAACACCCTGAAATGACAAAAGTGCAGGCAGTAATAACCTCTCAATTGGAATTAGAAATAATGGATTGGCCTAAGAAGCTAGAAGGGTTTGACTATTTGTATGTAAGAGCCCTAAGCTAAAAATGTTGAGAATGCTGATACTGAGATTAGGATCAGCATGGTCGCACTATAAATTAATCTACTTGCAAGTACAGGACGGAGGATATTGTAGGGGATTAAGTAAAAGAGTGAGAATGAGATAAACTCATTCATTACAGCAATACTAAACAAGACAATATAAAGCATATATGCTTCCTAAAATCATAGTATTGATTTAATTAGCCCTTGATACCAATGCCAAGATCCAGAGCGGGTAGACAAAAATGATCTTGTTAGATGCTTATGTGGCATAACTCCCACATTAATAGGACCGATAGTTTGATATTGTTTAACCAGATTTTTTAATATGGGGATTCTTCCAATGAACTGTGATATTGTGAAGTGCAATTTTCGCTCACAGATTGTCTTCATCTTTATCCAAGGAAGAAGATAGGAAACTCAATATAAAGCTATCAAGATCACCATCGAGAACAGAATCAGGATCAGAGACCTCATAGTTTGTTCTCAGATCCTTAACCATCTGATAAGGCTGCAAGAAACAGGAAAGCAGAAGAAACGCAGTTAGTGAGGTTTAAATTTTAAAATGTTAGCGGCTAAGAAAAAAAGGTGGTTACTGCCAAAGAACATACGTGGAGGACATAAGTCCGTATTTGATTGCCCCAGCTAATTTCGGTGAGGGATTGTGTATGCTGTGCATTCAACTGAGCCTGTCGAGCCATCTCAAGCTGGTCTAGCCGGGATTGAAGCACTGCCATTGCCATTGCCTTGTTTTGATGTTGTGATCTGTTTTAGCATGCAGGAAAGCAAAACTTATGGGTTGTAGTTGTAGAGAAGAAAATGGAGACATTTCTTTTCCAAACATCTAACAGTAACTTGTAAAGCTGCATGGCGAAAGCATACATGACTTACGTGTACTGCATACCTTTCATTTTGACAAGTAGCAGTGACTCCTGTTGGAATATGCACTATTCTCACTGCACTTTCAGTTGTGTTAACATGCTGGCCACCTGCTCCTCCAGCACGAAACCGCTCAATGCGAAGATCAGATTCGTTAATCTGAAATCGGGATGAAACATCGCCCAAGATGGGAATAACAGCTACAGCAGCAAAAGATGTATGTCGGCGCTTTCCACTATCAAAAGGTGAAATTCTCACCAACCTGTGAACCCCAACTTCTGCTTTGGCATATCCAAATGCATATTCACCATCTAATTTGATTGTTGCACGCTAAAAATCAGACCAATATACTATCAGATATTTATTGTCATTTAGTGGTTCACAAAAATGTACTTGTACTAATTTCAGATCATTGTAAAGTAGTTACAGCATATCCAAGGTTATAACAAGTCAAATAGAACTGAATAAATATTATGTGCAACTTGACTAATATTTCCTTCACCCAAATATTTGGGGAATACGAGTATAACAAAAGTAATATTTCTGTGTTAAGTTATACAATCAAATAATTATGTTTCAATTAATATCCTGCCAAAGCACTCACTGTCTGTAAATCATGAAAGCTAATGAGTGTCGAACATATTAAGACACACATCTTATCCAGTAGAGCACTTCCAAGAATCTTCTCCCATTACTCTTAACAGGAAAATATTTCAGAAGCTACAGGTAAGACTAGGAGAAGGGCCAAGGAGAGAAGGGAAGAAATCAAGAAACAATATAGATCAACCCGAGGAAGAAAGGAAGCAGCACAAGTATTTACATTGACATTTGCATACTGTTTATATAGGAATGATTTGTCTTGACGTCTTTATTTCTTGAAAACTGGTCAAGTATATTTCGTTACATGTCAAAATGCCTATATATATATATATATATATATATATATATATATTAAATATTATTAACACCTGTAAACAGGTGTATCGGGGACCAAAATATATGATTCGATACACCCCGATTGTATCGATACATTGAACCTTGGTTGTTAGCATGCAATGGGCTTGGGACCAAAAAACTCTGTTGAACATTTTTTTTTACACCCATAAATTGAACACAATAGAAGAAAGATAGTAGCTTCACATAGATAAATTAGAAAGATAAGAGACAGTTGGGGTTTAGAGATGGCGAGAAGAGGAAGAAGTGAGGGAGAAAGTGAAGGGTCCACAGTTATCATACCCGATCACTCCAAACTCTTTTATTTCTTGTAGTAAGATGGAAGACAGAATTACAATAATGCCCTTACATATTTGAATGCTATACGATCTAGCCCCAAACATATGAATCCTAAAAATACCCTTACCTAAAGAATATGTTGTTTCTACACTCCCCTTCAAGTTGGGGCAAAGATATCTATCCTGCCCCACTTGGGAACAAGTTCTGTGAGTTGAACTTTGTTAACTCCTATATTGAGAATGTCTGCTAGTTGGGACTATGAAGTTGAATAGGGAGTGCAAATATGACCATCCACAAACTTCTCACGAATAAAGCGGTGATCAAATTCAATATGCTCAGTGTGGTCATGTAGAAACAGGTTATGGCCAATACTAATGGCTGCCTTATTGTCACAGTACAAGCTCAAAGGACCAGTTGGCAAATTCCTAATTTACTAGGCAACAATTTCAACCACAATGCTTCACACACACCATGTGCAGATGTGCCATTGTTATAAATTCAGCTTTACACTTGACCTTGCAACCATGTTCTGCTTCTCACCAACCAACCAAATTACCTCCAACAAATGAACAATATCCTAAGGTAATTTCCTATTCCTGTATGTAATGGATCTAGCCTAGTCTGTCTGCATCAGTGTACACTTCAACCTGAAAATATCCATGATTAGAAAAAAGAATTCCTTTGTTTGGAGATGACTTCAGATATCTCAAGATTCCATGAGTAACCTCGAGATGTATGCTTCTAGGACCACGCATAAACTAGCTTACAACACTACCAGCATAGGCAATATCAGGTCTAGAGTGAGATAAGTGAATTAACTTTCCAACCAGGCACCAAAACCTTACTACATCAATTTAAGGATAGCCAGCTTGATCCCCAAGGTGATGATTCTGATAAATTAGAGTTTCAGTAAGTTTAGATTCCATCATTCCAGTCCCCTTTGAGAAGATCAAAAGTATATTTTTTCTGGAAAATGAAGATATCTTTCTTTGATCTGCCGACTTCAATTCCAAGGAAATATCGAAGATCAAAAGTATTCCAGTTCCTTCCCTAGGAAGGACTTTAACTGTTAAATCTATTCCTGGCCATAGGAACAGCAACAGGTGTACAGTGTACTATAGTAAAAAAAGGAGGGATGAACAGGAGTGGAAGCTGGTAAGACAGGCACCCTCTCTTCCCCAAAGTGGCCCACCTCCCCTGAAGAGAGGGCTTTTTGGCAACATAGAAGGGAGTAGACTCAAAAAAGGAGGCATCTATTGAAACAATTCATTCCCATGAAGTAGGACGATAGCACTTGTACCCCTTTTGAGATGCAAGATACCCCAAGAAGATGCACTTGATATCCTTGGGATCAAGTTTAGCCAGTGAGGAGGAAGAAACATGAACATAATAGACACAACCAAACACCTATGGGGGGAATAGAAAATAGAGGCCACTAAGGAGAGAAAAGTCCAAATGAATGTTTGAAATTGGGACTCATAAAGGAATACGATTAATTTTTTTTTGATCAATAACACTTTCATTAATTCATCAGTAGAAAATTTACAAGTGGAAGACAAACACACTTATCTTCCAAAAGTCACAAAGAACTTCAAGAAAGGAAAAAATACAAAGATACAAAGACACTACCGTTACAGCTTAGCCCAAAACAAAGAATCCCTTTCTGCCCCTTGTT